CAAAACATTGAATAAAAATGTGTTCCGGATTGCGGGTGCATTTCATGTGATGCAATCCAAAGATATTTTTTTTAAATGATGTTCACATTCTTTTAAAAATACAATAATAAAAGCGGTAAAGAGTTAAAACTTGCACATGAGCTCATAATTGTATAAAAATCAGATAAACAAGCCGAATATGACAGTTGAGCGACTGTGCTAGAACCATAGAACTCGGAAATGCCTAACACCTTCTCTCAGGTTAACAGAATTCCTTATCCGGATTTCTGGTTCGCGGACTGTTAAACAGAGTCATTCTTTTCCTCGATTCGGGATTAAACCGGTGACTTGGGACATCCTAAATCTCCCAAGTGGCGACTCTGAAATAAATAAACAAATCCCGTTTCGATTGTCCTTTAATTGGAAAAACTCCCTTCACCCCTTGCGGGGGCGGAAAAAAGAGGTGTGACAAGTGGTCTTTTGAAAATATTTAGTAGGAACAAGACCCTCTTGAATACAACTTACATCTGTTGCACTATCAATCATTGCTACATCAGTTAGAGAGAAAGTATTATCAATCAAGATAGTACATTTAATGTACCACTTATGAGTCGTAAAAACCTGCATCATTCCTAAAAACATATCAGAATTTTCATTAATCGAATCAATCTGATCAGAAATTTCTTTTCCTTTTTCATTTGAAGATTCGGAAATTCCTTTAGCCAAAAAATCAGTTGGAAAATCAGTTAGAGAATTATTTTTCTCAATTTGAGTAATCCGGTGATCACAAATCATTTGATTTTGTTTAAGAGACTTAATATCTCTTTTCAAATTCTCAATTTTGATTTTCAAATCATCAAAAGAAGCATCTCTGTTAGGTGTACTGGACTTATGAAGTCGTTTATTAATTTCAGACAAAGAATAAGGCGCAAAATGTTCAAATTCGTTCTTATATTTTTCAAAAGGTTTTGAACTACTAGAACTAGAACTTGCAGCTAAATTAATAATTTTTTCACAAAGTTTTTCATCGGTAACTTCTTTTAAAAGTTCTATTACATTATCAGATGTAATAGTTTTCATATTCAAATCATGAAATTATGATTGCAATTTATAAAATTCGTCATCATCACAAGTACAAATATCACCTTTGCAAGTTACGCAAGAAGTATCAACATTTTTATCACTATCAGATAAATCAATTAAATCAACTTCATCCTCAGATTCAGTCTCAAAGTAATAGTCAGATTCTGATCCTGAAGTGTATAACAAGCTATAAACCTTATCGCGTAACTCATCATCGAGTTCTAAGGTTTTTAGCTTTTGAAGCTTGCAATTTGGAGCAATATGACCAAACTTTCCACACTTATAACACTTAATATCAGCGAGATCTCTCTTTGATCTATTCTTCGTAAATCGAGTAGATTTCCGATGCGCTTTTCTAGTATCACGCTCTTCCTTAGACTTATATCTAGACCTCTTTTTCTTATACGGGCTATCCGGGTTAGGATACCTATGATATCTGTTTTTCTTCTTCTTCCTACTTTGAGTAGAGGTTCCGGGTAAACCGAACTGGGTACAAATAAAAGAACGAATGTTGAATAACTAATTTTCAACATGTTGAATAACAAATATAACTGATTTTTCGGCTAAAGGAATTTCCGAATCTTCAAATGAAAAGGGAAAAGAAATTTCTGAGCAGATTGGTTCGATTAATGAAAATTCTGAGTCGTGACTATGTCCGGCTAAGCGTTTTCATATCTATGTTGAAGAACTAGTTTCTCTTGCATATTAACCATGGAGAATCCAGACTCTTTCAAAATATAAAGGAATTTTAATATAGTTTCTTGGCTTGGTTCCAAGATTGTGGTACAGTCGACTCTGGTACTACTCTTATTGGTTTTGCCTTAGTGGCTACGTCTAGCCAGCTGTGACATTAAAGCCCGCTGAAGTTGTCAAAAGGGCTATCACTTTCACAGTTAGAACTGCTAGACACATGGGCTTAATAAGAGTATGTATTGGACCTAGACAGGCCCCTTGCTTGGGTAAAAGGATAGATCCTTCCATACAGTTATTAAAACTATAATAAAATCCTAGTATATTTCGAATTTACTAGTCGTGCGGTCTTCCGCCAACCTTTAAATGTACTAAAGCAGCTAGATCTGGATGGCCGTGCGGATTACCGCCAGCCAATTAGATCCTGGTGCAAATGGTATCAATAAAATAAAATAAAATAATATTTCAAGAGTAATAAAATATATATCTTCTATTATATTACAAAAGGAAAATAGTAGACAAAAATATTAAACAAAGTAATATGCTAATAAAAATTTCTATTAACAATACAATTATAAATATTGGATAATATAATAAAGAAAAGTATAGAATAAAAAAGTTATTCGATGGCTATATAAGTCCCTCTAATTTAATAGAGATTTCATTTATTAAACCTTAGATAATTGAGAACAACAGAATAAGATTTAAAATAAAAAATATTTCAAGATTAATAAAATATATATATCTTTTCTTATATTACAAAAATAAAGTGAGCAGACAAAAATATTAAACAACATAATATGCTAATAATAGTTTCTATTGACAATGTAAAAATACTAAACCTTGGATAATATAACAAAGAAAATATAGAACAAAAAATCTATTCAATGACTGTACAAATCCTTTTAATTTAATAGAGATTTTATTATTGAGTATATTGTACGGACAAATACCATTAAAATTTATAAAAGCAATACGATTTAATATGTTTAAATACGCCCGATTATAATTTTATTTAATTAATATTTTTTAATATTAATCAGCATTGGGCGAGTACGACTACTAGTTTAAGCCAAAAAAAAAAAAAAAAAAAGATTGTTGAGTAGACGTTGTGTTTCATAATGGAGTTTAACTTGTAACTCGAAACATATAACTATCCATAAAAACAAACCCCTTTAAAACATTTCTCTGTTTTTTCTTTCTTCCATAGAAGCTTCCTCTGCAAGATCCATTTCTACTTTCTATCAATCTAGAAGATTCTGGAACAGTGGAGAGCAATGAAAATGAACCCTAGAGCTTGATCAGTCGTTCATCTTCTCCGCAAAACCAACTCACTACCACGTCGAATCTTTGAATTCTATATCAATTTTGAAGTCTTCAGGAAGTTATGGCCGATAATTCCAAGGACGATTTCTTCCAGCTCATGAAACGATTTGGGTCTTTTCTCACCCTCAAAGTTTCTAATCTCTTCCAAAACCTGGTTATATTCTATCTCTTTCGAGTTTATTTTTGCCTTCTTTTTTGTTTAATTAAGGAATCGATTTATATTTTTGTCTTATGTTTAAGATTTTAAGTTCTATGCACTACCGGTGAAAAAAGTATTTACACAATCAGGTTAATTAAATTACGCCTATGATACCTATGCACTGTTAGAGCATATAACTTATTTGTGAGGATTCAGATAGTTTTACTGTGTTAAATTGGAGAAGTCGGATAGTTTTACTGAATAATTCAGTAATAATCAGTGTTATGAAAGGCTCGAATGAGGCATACTTAAACCCTGAAAGTAGACCCCAGATTCACCTTGTTTAGGTGATGATTTAGTGCTGGCATAGAGGGACTAATGAGTATGCTAATTGTCTGGACAAAAGTTGGTGGAATTGGACCTAAAAGACCCATTTAGGTTAGATATCAGTAGAAACATAAAACAAAAGAATTAACTACGTCAAGAACTTCTTGTTCACTTGGAATTATAGAGGGGAGAACAAAGGAAATATTCAAAATTGTAGAAACTATTGCGGCATTGATGATTGAACTTATGAGTCATACGATAAAACTTCGTGAAAGAGTGATAGAGTGTAAACTTAGGAAAATTACAAGATTGACCGAGAATCTGCTTGCTAAGAAGATTGATAGAATTTTATCGTGAAGGAAGAAAGATCTACACATGGTGTTTATTGAGCTGGAGAAAGCGGATGCAATATCAGGAAGGATCTTTTGATGGGTGTTGGAGAAGAAAGGAATTCATGTTAAATAGATAAATACCATAAAAGACATGTATGGAGGAATTCTTACTAGCGTAAGAGCAGTAGTATGAGATAAAAAGTTTCCCATAATCGTGGATTTACACTAGGGATCGCCATTAAGTCCATACAGTTTTTTTGAAGAAAGTGGAATATTATTAACAAAAAAGCATAAAAAGATGCCTGGGTTACGAAATGAAAGAAGATATCAGCCAACGATCAGAGTGAGCCCATACTCTTTTATACTAGTTATGGGTGATCTAACCAAAAGCTTGAATTATAGAGAAACACTTTAGAGAGTAAGGGTTTTATGAAAAAAGAAGATTGAATTATATGCACCGCAAATTAGTCAGCATAAAAAGAATGAAGTTCATGTGAGATTAGATGGGATTATGATGCCTAAATGTGTAATAATTCAGATATCTAGGCGCGTAATTCAAAACTTGAAATGATAGATGAAGCTATTAAACATAGAAGCAAAATTGGATGGTTGAAATGGAGAAGTCCTATTGGGGTGTTGTGATAGGAAAATGCCTACCAAAATGAAAGGTAAGCTTTATAGAATAGTTATAACTCCAGCAATGTTATATCTGGTGAATGTTGGGCTGCTAAAGTCCAACACATCCACAAGATGAGTATCGCTGAGATACGGATGCTAAGGTGGACATGCGCTCGTATAGATTAGTCTAAGGTTAAAAATCACAACATTCGCTAGAAGGTGCAAAATAGCACATATTAAGTATAAAATAAGAGAAGGTCGCTTGAGATAGCTTGGTCATGTCTAGTGTCAACATCTAAATGCTCTGGTCGTTAGATGCGAAATCATGGTTAGTGAAGGTGTTAAAAGGGGACGAGATAAAGCTTAAACTCACATGGAAAGAAGTGATAAAAAACCTAAATTCTCTTGGAATCAATGCAGACTTGGTGAAAGATAGGGCTCATTGGAGGACGAATAGCTCTATAGGTGGTATCTAGTAGTTAGAAATATATTTTAATCATGATAATACGTCTACTTTACCTCATATGCATTCTAGGAATCTTTTTCCCCTATTAGAGAATATTATATCAGTATGCAATAAAGAGAAATTATAGTTTCAGCTTTATTTTTATTTTCTGTAATGTTGGCTTGAGATAGATTTAACTTGGGAACATGGTTAATGAGGATTCATATAGCTGACTCTAACTTGTTTGAGATTGAGGCGTAGTAGTTGTTGTTGTTGTTTAGTTCATTTATCCATATAATTGTAGTTTCCTTTTGTACTTATTTTTCTTGTGTTACCTATATAAATCTTTTCTTTCCTCATTATTTCTTTACTAGCATCCGCTGTTTAATTCCTCTTAGTAGTTAAAGTTCCATCAAATATTAATTTTTTTCTACGCATTTAACTTTGACAACATAATGATACCTTTTTTTATCAGTTTGGGTCGAATTTTCTGAAAATCATTGACTTTGGCATTAGCCCAATATATTCCATAATTTTAATACAACTACCACACTGCCTGAGCAGTAGCAGAGTGTAAAATTAGATGACTGCACAATTTAGAGTTTCAGGGCTTCTAAAGTGTGATGCCTGAATCTTTTCCACCACTTACAAAGTTGAGGAAGGCAACATACGTTGAATCAGCAATTTGTGCAATCCACAACCAATAAACTGCCATTTATCTAATTGTTTGCAGATATAATCTTTCTCTTATACAAGAAGTAGTGCAATAATCGCTTTTTTTTATGGCATTCCAAAGAAAGATGTTTTAGATGTTGTACTACCTTCTCTTAGATGGTAACAGCTATTTGATGTAAATGCAGGATTCGAGATCTGTAGGAGCTATAGCAGGTCTTGCATTTGCAATAGTTTTTACATGGAGAATATTGAGATCGCCTAGTGGACCACAGAGGAGGCGTCCTAAACGACAAGCTGTTACACCTGGTAGTTCTGGTGTAAACAGTCATTTAAGTGCAAATGTAGAAACTTCAGGAGTTAGCCCTTCTTCAGAGGATTCAAGTACACAAAATGTTATTGATGAGTTCTTTCAGCCAGTAAAGGTAGAAAGAGATTATCCTTCGGCCCCTACCCCCTTAATTTGGATTATCCAAATATAATTGGTGGATAAGTGACCTTCTACTAATTGCTTTGCAGCCAACACTCGGGCAAATAGTTAGGCAGAGACTGAGTGAGGGGAGGAAGGTATAATGTTCTTTTGTTGCTATTTATTTAACATTTTTTTCTTCCACCATCCCCAAGGCTCATGGATGCCAAGTAAATATTTGATGTCTAACATACATAATATTAATCTAAGAATATTTTGAGATCATGGGTGGAATTTGTTTGTCTAAATTTGAAATTTTCCATTCTCTTAGGTGCCATGATTTTTTTTTTCCAGAACATGCCGAAAAAATTAGAAGTAAAGATCAAATTGTTGTTTTTTTCAAATATATTCAGGTTCTGTTTGCAAAAAGTCTTTTGCAATACTGTTTCTTTGAAGTGGTAATTTAAGTGTGTTTTTACAGAATGTTTTCAAGAAACTCTTCTCCTCTCACAAAACACAAAAAGAACCAGTCAAACGCATCTAAAGTTTTCGCAAACTATTTCCAAATGTTATTCAAATGGTTGCTTAAATTCTCGAGATAGTTTTTGATTTGTGTGCAAATAGGTTAAATTAGTTATTGAATAAAGGGCTTCGTTCTATCAAATTTTTGTGCCTTGAAGTATAGTTTGGAAGGTTCAACAGATTGGACGCCTTCTATAATTAGTTGGAGGCATAGCTTTATACTTCGTCTCATTTTATGTGAAGGTGTTTTGTTGGGCCCGAAGTTTAAGAAATTAAATAAGACTTTTGACATGTAAGGCAAATACAGTATTTGCAAAGTACCAAAATTATTCTTTTAAATGAGTGGTCGTGACTCGTGAGAGTTCCACCTATCTTTTCAGTTTTTCTCTCCTTGTAAAAACATAAACTTTTATATCAAGTGGGTCCCAACAAGTCATATCATTATGGATAAGACGGGAATGTTAAGTGGACAACATCGCCCACGCTTAATTTAAATTTAACAACAATAACGACGTCATATTATATGGACTCTTTGCTTTTGTTGTATTTTGTTCTTAACTAAGTTTGTGTTGAAGCCTACCCTAGCACGCGCAATGTGCATAATGGCGTGTTTTACCAATCTTATCCTTTAATTGGTAGTCTTATTAGAACCTAGTTAAAATAATGCAAGTAATTTATTGATAACCACAACGAGAAATATTTGAGAGCATGATGGTGGTCTCTACCTCAATTTAAAAAAGCATCTGCTACTCGACCAAATCGTATCTGGTCAAGCTTTCCCGATTCTTCTTGGCATCGTTAAAGTCCATTTATACCTTCTTTTTATCTTTGTATCACAGCAGCACAAATAACTTAGAAAATCTGGATATTGTTTCACTGTACAGGTAACATGTCGGTTGCTTGGAGTAATCCTGGAGGAAACTAGCCCAGAGGAACTACAGGTTATTATTATTATTTCATTTGTTGATAGTGCATCAGTTGCCAACATGCAGTTGACAAGGTTTATACTTTGTCCTTTGCAGAAACAAGCAACTATCCGATCCTCCGTGCTGGAAGTGTTACTTGAAATCACCAAATTTGGTGACCTTTATCTTATGGAGAGAGTACTTGATGATGAAAGTGAAGTTAGTGCGCTGCTCACTCTGTTATATTACATCTGTATGTCGATTAGTAATTGCTACTGATCCAGTCCCTTTAATTATTTAATATATTTATTGCCTGATTCAGAAAGAATAGTGGGTGGCAGAATGCCATTTGATGCCTCTTTCAAAATGAAAAGGGAAAGGCTGACATCGTTGATTGCTTTGTATACTAAATAAAACTCACTCTTTGAACTGATTGCTAAATTTAAAATCTAAAAAGACAAATTAGTCTCTTTGATGCCAAGTCTAGGTGACTCTAAAAATCGAGTTGCCAATATGTTGCTTTAGGCACCGATTACGCTTGCTTAATTTCTAAGAATCACGGATAAGCTCAACTTTGGTAGTATACCTTTTACTTAATAGTTCAGTCAAGTGGAATGTCATTCCCTGAGCAATTCACTACTCTCTTCTTTTGTTTTTCTCGGAAAACTGATGTCACATTCAATAATCATCACACATTAACCAAAATTCATCATTTACTTGTTTAGTACTATATTTTTACTTACTAATCTGCATAATTTAAAGCTTTCTTTGGTGGAAGTCAAACTAAACTCCTGAGCAAGAGCCAAGCTTTAGATACAATGACCATGTTTGAGTTTCCTTTGGACTTTCACTTCGTAATGCCTGGTTTTGTCTACTAGTTCTTGTATTCTTGAAGTTCTCATATTTGGTGCGCGATTCATTTCTTAGCACCCACTTATCATGGGTACAGTGCATCTTGATGGTGGGCGCTGTGTTGATCCATTCATTGTCTATGAGTAATCTGCATGTGTATATCAACGAACTTCTTTCTATACATATTCATGAAATGATCGAATATTTGCAGAAAAACGTCCTGGTGGCTTTAGAAGATGCTGGAGTGTTAAGCATGGTCAAAGACAAGGTAACAACTAATCATTGTTCAACTCCATAGGAAGTCGAAATCCATTTATAATACCTTCATGGAGTTCTTGTTAGTGTGATTGTTTTACAATGGGTGTTGTCTTCAACTTTTAATCTAAACCGTGCCTCCATAAACACTTTTCCTTCGTCTGCAAACTGGTATCCTCTTCCTGGAAAAATCAAGATGATCTATTCTTCCAATTGTTTTGCCTATAGATTTTGGATGTGTGCTCTTTATTCTCATAACCTGGGGTATTGACATTTCCTCTGCTCTGGAGAAAAAGATATATTTTGTCTCCTTTTGGTAGAAGTACTACGTTAATCCCCATTCTTTAAATTGTGTAACAAAGTTATAATTGAATTTATCGGTGGACAAGTTTAAGTTTAACCCATATATTTTAATTTTGTTCTTCTGTATGGCAAAACTACATTCTCATATTGTATTGGATCATGAATATAATTTTACCATCCTATTTGCAACTTTTTCATTTAGGCTTTACACACTTAATGTATAAACATAAAAATGCAAATAAAAACATGGAAGATTGCAAAGTGAAAAAGAAAGAAATTGAAAGGGAGTACTGAAATAGATTTCTCTATAGATATATATTGTATCATATTTTTTCATTTTGTTCTTTTCATCATTCTTTGTTAGTGGTGTATCTTAAATTTGCTGGGTGCATAAAAGAGTAAATGCATGCATAGACTGATAGTTTCTTTAAAATAAAATAAGGTACTTTGTTGCACACGTGGAAGAAAAAAAATTCTAAAATTAACTACAAAGGACAAACTTGTCTGTATGTATATAATGTAGTTTATTACACAAAATAAAAGAAAAGGGAAATTTTTGTAATATCTTTTTTAAGGATTAAGGTATGTTTCTCTCTAGAGCTTACTAGTATTCGTACCTGCGCGATGCGCGGCCGATATCAAAGAAAATTTATAGTAAAAAAGTTAGAAACTTATTTGTTTGATATAATAAAAAAAAAAGTTGTCGTATCGCGTTGATATATTTAAAATTATGTATACTTCAATAGAAATTTATATTGAAAATTTTAATTGACACTTAATATCATATCACGATCTTAATTACTCGTTTTATATGGAAACAAAAAAAGTTCTTGTCATATCTATGATATTGACATTAACAAAAATTAATAATCTTACATTATGTCAAAAGCCTTTAATTTCATATATGTTTGATAACACTATACTTTTAATACAAAATTTCATAAACAAATAGAAGCCATATTTACCGATTTCCAAAAAGCCAAAATAGTAATAGGATTCTTTAAACTTCAGTTAATTTCGTTAAAACTGAACATCCAACTAAACTGAAGCATATCATATAAAAAGAAGCTGACCGAATATGAAACCTACTCAAGTTCTAACTATATATGTTTGAACTCTTTCTGCACCACAGCAAAAATTATAGTGTCGAAGCCTTCCAGACTTTCTGTAAGTATAAGCAAAACGAGTCTTAACGCAAAACATAAAAGGAAGAAATAATAACACAAATAAAATAGTTTCATGAAAAGAGAGTTGTATTTCAAAATGAAAGGGATAGGAACTCTAGTTAGAGGACCTCTAATCCCCTAATTCAAAAAATGATTTTGGATACTCCTTGATCTCCAAGAGACTAACCACCACTTTCTGTTCAATTAACTAAACAAACCCAAATCTAAAAAAACATAACCATCCTTCTATATGCACCACCATCAAATAGTAATTAACACCAAATTAATTCAACTTCTAGCAGAAATGGCTCCCTATGTTAGATTAACTAAGCAATTAAGGTAGCCCCTTCAATCCAAGCTACATCATCTTCTACCGATGATTCTGACTTTTCGGACCAACCAACCAGGACCTGCCTTCGCAAGTCTCTCTGCATTTTAGGAGCAAAATATGCAGCAAAAGCGTGCAATGAATCTTAGAAGAATTCCACATTTCCAGCGTACTTATATACTTAGAACAAAGATCCTTCAGCACAATATCCTATCAAACATACCTGCAACGGTTTCAACAGGTGAAATATTGCCTCATATTATGTATTATTATATAAGAGGAAAAATAACTCATCGTTTGCTAAATCTCAAGTATGGAGCAACTAAATCACCATTCCTGACTTTCAGAAGGAAAGCATCACATTAGCTAGGTAAATGGCTCAGACCAGTGAATGGATTGGCATTATCGAGAAATGCAAAATCTGGAAAGGAAGTTAATCAATTAATTAAAAAAGGAAAATTTGACCAATTTTTTAAAGTTGCATAAAGATTGCCGACCTCTGTAAGTTTAACCATACATGATGGATATTTATTACCATGGACTTAGAGCAGATGTCAAAATAGGTTATAATGAAGGAAGAACAGATAGTATATCACTATGAGCCATGAATTTACCAAGTTTAAGGTGAACATGTGTGTAAACCTCCAATTCAACAACAAATATTTTGTTGATTACATATCCATCTTGCTAATCGCAACTTTCTGCATATTGTTGAGATATAAAATAGATTAGCAACTTGCTCTTCTACTTGCTCTATTTCATCTTTCAATGAAACCATACCCTGTTGAATGCTCAAAAAGATCGTTACATGATTATACCAATATACGTTGCAAGTTACTTCATAAAAAAGAAGTAAAATATGTGGGAACAACACAAACCTGTTCACCCAAATTTCAAAGTTTATTGGTTTTGAAATTCCAAAACCTTAGAACTCTTGAAGACTGTTCACCCACATTCCAAAAGGAAACCCAATGACCCATAGCTGATAAGAATTGTGCTCCTCATGCTTCATCTTGCTTATGATGTCTTCCACATACGAACTTGTTTTCTTATTCTAGCTTAATCATTAAAGCTCTCTTACCAACAATGGGTCCATGAACATTAACTTGCAAAATATTGACGACCTTTACAACTCTAAAACTGAACATATGCGAAACAAAATCCCAAACAAATTCCATAAAAGAGCTAACAGATAGAAAGCTACACAGAAAAGGTACAAATGTGAAAACTACCATGAGAGTTCCAAACAAAATCCCAAACTGAGCATAGCTAACTGCCATAAATGTCTTCTAGAGGTTTACACACATGTTCCCTTTCCATTCACATTATATGTTTGATAACATTATACAAATAGAAAGCTTCAAGGGCCTCCCCATTTACTGTAGACATATAATGAAAATAATGAAAATGTTCGAATATTGCTCCGACCACATTCAATGTCTCCGAAATCAATCTAAAGTGAAGACTGAAAAACACCTTCAATTTATTGCCAATAGAGAAAAAAATTACATAAAAAGTTTGATAAATTTTTTTAAAATGGACCACAAAATAATAAAAAGATGCAAACTTTATTGCTATTAGTCAACACAAATCAAGAATAATGGATAACATAGATAAATTTTTCAAATCAAATAATTTCTTCTATATAACAAACGCAAAAACAAATCAAAAAGTCATAACATCAAGTGCAGGAGAAAAAACCTAAATTAAGAAAAAGGTAAAAATTGGGGGTGTATTTTTTACCGATAGCAAAAGCAACAATAGTAGAGTGGTTTATAGTGAAGCAATAATTGTTTGCATCTTTCAAATTCGAGTCTTCTCTCTTAAAAACTTGTATATAACCATGCCACTTGAATGACATTACAAACGAATGGATTCATCGCAACTTCTGAAACTGAAAACCCAACATCAAAAAGGGTCTATAAAAGCGAACCATTCTTCTATACCCTTTTAATTTGTTTGACGCATTGTAACGCACCAGTATTTAGGTTGTTAAGCAGAAAGATTTCAAACATATATACCAACGTAAAAACAACAATCTTAAACAAAGTACTCATTGCTACTAACAGAAAAATTCATGACAATCTCATAAATCAAATTTTGTCATCAAAATCGAAACCAAATAAAAAAAATATGGAATAAGAATAGTAATTGATCCTGATTACTTTAAAAACGTGGTTAACATGTTAACAAATATATAAAAATTTGATAGACCCAGATTTTAGAATTGATTTTTCTATGTAATAAAAAATGGCAAACGGAAAAATTAGATACCTTCCATGATTATTTTCTTTTGATATAAATTCATGTATAGAGGAGATGCAATCAAAGTTTGATTCAAGACCAAATTTTGAAACTCTTCAAAAATGATTTGCATCGCTATTTTTGTAAGCTTTTGGTGGATTTTGATTAGAATTTTGGAAATCGAGAGACTGATTTTTGGTGGATTCTATTTTTGATTAGGGTTATGTTAGAATTTTGGAAGTTGAGAGAAAGAAAACTGCTTCTTCAAACGTAGTGATCTGAAAAATTGAGTTGTAAGGTTTGGCGGAGGCGTTTGAGACATTATTAGTTTAGGAGACAGTTTCTAAGTTATGGAGTTAGGTTTTGATGCCCACGTTTGTGAAGAGGATGGTGGGGTATTTTTCATCCGGATAAAAGAAACGTGGGAGTCCAAAAATTTGAATAGATGATCGTGGATGAAGAAGCATGGGAGTCCAAAAAACGTGGGACTCATGGATATGCACAAACGTGGGACTCTTAAGGGAAATAACTGAAACATATTAATGCTTTAAAAGCTTCAAAATAACTTTTTAATTTTATAAATTATAATTTTTTTGAATCTCCAAGCTTATTGGAATTTTGTCTTAAATCTTGACACGTGTCGATTTTTCGGTTTGACACTTGGCACAATATTATGAATTTGCCTCTCCTTTTCTATATTAATAGATTGTTGTTATCTTCTCCAACGCTCCTAAAGCTCAATCAGTATTGTAGAAGATGGTAAGAGTAAGTGTGCTGAATGATGCAGAGCATGCGCAGTGTTGCACCTAAGGGTGTAGCTTAGTCGTTAATCCGTTAATGAAGCAGGTATCAAGTTCATATCCAGTGGAGATCACTTCTTCCTATTTGTCCAAGCCTTGATGGGCAGAGTTATCCATGTACTGGTGTGAGGTAGCAAGTTAAAATTAGTTGAGGTGCGCGCCATCTAACTCGGACGCCATGGTTATCCAAAAAAAAAAAGAGCGTGGGAAATGCTGAGAAGAGGGGAAAGCGTCAGGTCATGATATGAATATGTTCAT